ATTGCTTTATGAAGGTCGTTCTTGAGTTGACATAATTCATGGGACCCTTGACCTGAAAAGGTCCCTCCCCTTGGCGAGGTTGGATCCCACGTCTGGTCCTTTCAGCAGAACAGACGCTCGACTCTGCAGAGATGAAAGGATGAACCTTACTTAGCAAGTACAACGGATGCGATGTGAATTTCCAAGAAGGTGGCAGAGAAAAGCCTGTGCCTGCCAGCTTGCACAACCGGGACCTGCAGAAACTCCTGCCTCTGTTGTGTCATCCCCAGGGAAAGGTCCTCTGGGCTAGAGCCATCCATCACGGCTCAGGCACTGGCTTGTCACAGAGCTGAGTTTGTACAAAGTCGCCCTGCCGGGCTTTGGAACTCGCCTTTAAGAAGTTTTTCCACACGGCGCACACATGACATGAGCCCAGTGCACACAGAGTTTATTAACGAATGCATATTTAAGAAGTTGCTTGCGGGACAGTGTTCACAGAATTAATTTTCACTAATCGAAGCAAGAAGCTGCATGAGTTAAACTATCTTTAAGCTCACATGTTAAACAGGAAATAAATTTTTTATTTTTATTTTTTAAATAGCCAGGGAGATTTTAAACCTTCTCGCTGCAGTTGATAAGGAAAGAAGCATGGAGCAAAACGATGTATCTTGTTTATCTCAGGCCCAGTGTTCCGGGCACTGCAGGTGGGGGTCTGTCCACTGCTGCAAAGGTCTGGCCCAACTTCCGACCCCCCACCCCTGCCCCCCAGCTGAGCGTCTCTTCACGGTGAGATTTCCCACACACAGAGCCGGCCTCCCTTCAATCTTATGATGAACGCCGGCTTTCTTGGTAGCAATTAGGAAGAGAAACAGAAATAGCGAGCGCCCTGGGTTTTATTAGCTCCCTACACTTTCATCCCAGGGTGTATAACAAAGCTACCTAATTATTCCCTGACTGGTAGACGTTTCCGCTTTTAAATATAACCCAGGCTCAAGCCTTCACGTCCTTAGGGTTCCTCTCTCTGCTTTTCCGGGAGCAGGCTTTTCAGGATAGTGGTCCCCGCTTGCTTCTTTACCTTCCCTTTTCTTGGATGGCGTCACCAACGCGATGGACGTGGGTTTTGCGTAGACTCTGGAGCTGGTGATGGACAGGCAAGCCTGGCGTGCAGCAGTCCTGGGGTCGCAGGGAGTCAGATACTGAACAACAACTACTGAACAACAACAATATTAATTACTGTATTTCTGGCCGGCTCCTCTGTAATTTCAGTGCTCAGGTTTCTCATTGCGGTAGATTCTTTTCTTCTGGAGCACAGGCTGTTGACCATGTGGGCTTTAATGGTTGCGATGCACGGGCCTAATTGCTCCGGCGCACGTGGGATCTCCCAGGACCCGGGATCGAACCCGCGTCCGCTGCATTGCATGGCCGATTTCTTAACCGCTGGACCAGCAGGGAAGCCCCTTTCTCCGTTTTCTGACCCCCATTCCCTCCCAGGCCCATGGCAGTCTGCCTTCCGGCCTCTCCACCCACACCCTCTCAGTTGGCAAGGAGGACAAGGGTAATTCTGAACCAGCCGGGGCCCCGGATCTATAGCTCAGGGCTTTGTTCTTCTAAGGGTTTCTCAGCAACCTGGCCGCTTCCCCCAGGGCCTGCCAGTCTCCTGGCTCATCCTTCCTTGCTGGCAGGGCCTTCTACGGCCCTTCTGGAGGTCCCCCCCTCGTTTGCAGACCTTCCTGTGCTCAGAGATGAGCAGGTCTTTGGCCCGGGCCCTCCCCTCCTCTCCTCTGTGGCTTCTGCTTGAGCCATCTGAGCTACAGGGAGGACGCAGCTGTGGAGGACTGGCCAGGAAGGGGTCACGGGGTGTTTGCTGCAGACGCTGGACTCACCTCATCCTCTGTAGGATCCCAAGCAGGAGGGCCTCATACCGGGATTCCCCTTGGACACAGGTGGGTTGTTCAATCGCTCCGTCGTGTCCGACTCTCTGTGACCCTTTGGACTGCAGCAAACTAGGCCTCCCTGTCCATCACCAACTCCCGGAGTCTACCCAAACCCATGTCCATTGAGTTGGTGATGCCATCCAACCGTCTCATCCTCTGTTCTCCCCTTTTCCTCCTGCCCTCAATCTTTCCAAGCATCAAGGTCTTTTCCAAAGAGTCAGCTCTTTCACATCAGGTGGCCAAAAGATTGGAGTTTCAGCTTCAACACCAGTCCTTCCACTGAATATTCAATGTTGATTTCCATTAGGATGCACTGGTTGGATCTCTTGCTGTCCAAAGGACTCTCAAAAGTCTTCTCCAACACCACAGTTCAAAAGCATCAATTCTTCAGCGCTCAGTCTTCTTTGTGGTCCAAAAATACATAAGTTTTTTTTTGTTTACAAAAATTATAAAAAGAAACAAAAATAAGGTAGCTTTTCCTATTGTGTCCTCCTACCGCCCAGAGCAGGGTAACTATAGTTCATTTTAGAGGCAGTGTAAAGGATCATTTTCTTAGTATCCATAGGTGTCCGTGGCTAACACCGTTTGTTGGAAAAAAAATGGTGTCAGTTAATTTTTTTTTAAAAAAGGATGATTTTAGAGATGTTGGTGGACACTTTTATCAGACTTGTCCTAGTTCTAGCCAAGCCAAAGGGGAGACTGCCCCACGACGTCCAGACTAGTAGCAAAAATGGAGTCATTCTATAGGAAGCATGGAAGTGCCATTGGCCTAATTTAGGCTTGCATTCTTGGTAGCAACGGACGCGTGATTAAAATGGTTTTGCAAAAGAGCAGAGGATGTGGGAGGAAGGACTCGTATAGGCATCTTGCATTTTCAATAACTGTTTGTGGAGGAAAGAACAGGATGGCATTAATTAGACCGAATTAGTGCCGGCTGCCTCCCGTTTTCCCTTTCAGAGGCTATGTGTTGCATTCTGTTTTCGTGGAACTGGAATCTTTTTTTTTTTTTTTAAAGGAGAACAGAGCCTTCAAAGAAAAGATCACGCTTTTCAGACCTGTAATTTAAGCTCCGCCGTTGCCATTTAAGCGTGCCCATAATTCTGGCTCCCTGTGTGTTTCGGATTGCGTGTGTTTATTCAGTTGTATTTTTAGACACGCTAATTCCATCGCAGGCTCCTGTTCTGAGTGTGAGCAGAAGACTGGGGGCAGACGCAGGCAGAGGACCTGTTTGAAGGATGTGTCTGGGAAGGTTGTCTACCTCCTGCATCTCGGAAGGGAGCACCATGTCGGAAAGGAGCTTGGCGGTCAACAGTGCAATCTACCTAAGCAAGCAGGATGCAGTTGTGTCTCTCCTTCACCCTCCTCATTCTGCCATACACACCTGTGACTCAGAGATCAAACCCTGTTCAAGAGTCACACGACTGCTTGGGGCACTGGAGTTTACCCAGCGCTCAGAACCCCACGGACAGAGGAGCCCGGCAGGCTCCCATGGGGTGGCAAGAGTCGGACGCAACTTAGCGGCTAAAGCATGACCACCACCACCAGACTTTGACGAAGAGAAGCACAAAATCAGAAATGTGATCCTTGGCTTCTGCCAGGTCGACATACGACAGAAAGAGAAACAGCAAAACAGAGAGGCGAGAACGATGAGAAAAATTCATCACCTGGCTACCAGCCGATTTACAGCCAAGTCTTTGGCTCACGTTATTTAGCTAATGAATCTAGAGGGCTCAGGGGCTTCCCAGGCGGCCCTAGTGGTAAAGAAACCGCCTGCCAATGATGCAGGAGACACGGGTTCCATCCCTGGGTCGGGAAGATCCGCCGGAGAAGGAAATGGCGACCCGCTCCAGTATTCCTGCCTAGAGAATCCCATGGACAGAGGAGCCTGGTCGGCTACAGTCCATGGGGGTCACAAAGAGTCAGACAGGACCAAAGTGACTTAGCACACACACACACTAGAGGACTGATTCAGTGTCTCCTTGTGAAAAGGATAACTTTTAACCATCCGATTGTAGGCAGAAATGTCTCACTTTTTAAAATAATTTTTTTTTTTTAAATATATATTTGGCTGTGCCTGGTCTTAGTTGCAGCATGTGGGACCTAGTTTCCTGGCCACGGATCGAACCCAGACTCCCTGCACTGGGAGTTCGGAGTCTTATCCAGTGGACCCCCAGGCAAGTCCCAGAAACGTCTCACTTAAAAGCAGCATAAAGGGGACATGGAAATAGCAAGTCAAAGAGGTTTGTTGTTTTTTTTTTACTCTGTATTTGTTCATTTTGTTTTTCTAAGACATGTGGTGCATCGTATTTCTACCTGGAGATCATAATATTTGCCAACAGATTTCAGTCTCAAACACAGCAGAGCACCTCTTTGCTGGAACACTCCGGCGTCTGAGAAGTGCGTCATCCGAATTGTAGTCACGGGGGCAGGTGGTTCTCACACCCGAGCGCTGACAGAGAAGAACAGATCTATTGGAGCTTGTTCGATAGCTGTAGTTTATATCTAAATTACACATTTTAAAGAAAAAGGCAAGTAGCTCTGAAAAGCCAGAATTGCAGACTGTACTCTTTTGTCTCTCCAGGTTTTTTTCTTTTCCTTTTTTTTTTTTGGTGTGCACCATTTTAAGTCATTTTTGCATTTGTTACAACACTGCTTGTCTTATGCTTTTTTTTTTTTTTTTTTTTGGCCACAGGGCAGGTGGGAGCCCAGTAGGTGTGATCCATACATAAAACATCCAATATGTGAGCAGGAGGTGAATTACAAGAAGGACAGATCCACGGTGCAGGGGCTCGGGGGGGCATATAGTGCCAAGGATTTTCGTGAAATTTTTCACAAGGTGTCTGGGACGAACCCTTAGCTGGAGAATTACTTAGCAGTAGGCTGACAAGGGTGAGGCTTGGCTCAGGCAGTAAAGAATCTGCCTGCAATGCGGGAGACCCGGGTTCCATCCCTGGTTCGGGAAGATCCCCTGGAGAAGGCCGTGGCAACCCACTCCAGTATTCTCGCCTGGAGAATCGCACGGACAGGGGAGCCTGGGGGGCTACAGTCCAGGGGGTCTCACAGAGTCAGTCGAAGATGACTGAGAGACTAAATACTTTGACTTGACGGAAGGGTGGAAGCAGGTCCTGTGTTTGCTGGGGTGTGAGAGCAGGGCTGGCGGCGCAGGTCCAAGGGGTGTAGAGCGATGCGGTGAGTAGCGGAGTAGAAGAAGGTGGCTGAAGCCCACGACGAGCACGTGGTTTCCGAGACGAGCATCCCGCAAGGCACCAGGGAGCCGGGGCTTGCCCAGTCCCCGAGGGTCAGCGTGAGCCTGCTCGGATGCGCAGGTGTGAGCTGAGGCGGTTCACCGCGGTCCTCACCTCTCAACGCGCTGGGGCCACCAGGATGGGCGGCCCGTGGCAGAGACAGACGCCGAGGCACCACCCAGGAGAGGCTGGCAGTAGTAAGCTCCCCCGGCACTCCGCCCCGCCCCGAGGGAGAGTGGTTGGTGCCCGCGCGTTGATATGAAGACGTTCCACTCTGGGGGGTGGGCAGACGCAGGGCGTGGGGTGCGGTGGGCACCCGGAACGCGTGTGCGTCCTCCTCTGCGTCCGTTCGTGTTTCTCAGGGCAGGAGAAAGTGGGACCGTAAACCGGGTCAGGGATGCGCACGCGAGCGGAACTGCAAGGAGCCACGCGCAGGCGCCCCCGGGAGACTGGGGTGGCGAGCGGGGAAAGCAGAGATGCAGAGAGCAAGGGGAGACACGCTCACCAGCCTGGGGGAAGCCTCGGCTGCAATCTCTGAGCCGCTTTTCCGAGAAACCTTCCCCGCGGCCCCATCTGGGTTTGCATGTTCTGATCACATTGGCGTTCGAGGCACCATCAAAGGAGGTGCGGGTCAGAGGCTGGAAGGTTCTGCTTGGATTGGGTGATCGTCAACTGTGAGATTCCAGACAAAGACGCCGGGAAGACAGGAGGACGTGGACTGGGGTGGGATGTCTGAAATGTATTTTATGGAGACGAGGCACCGTGGAGACTGATGCATGATGGGCCATAGGAGGCGGTGGCTGACACGTGCAGGGTAAGACCATCAGCGTCCGGGGGTGGGCGGAGGGGAGTGGGGAAATGGTGGGGAGCCACTCAGAATCCCAGAGTTGGCATGAAGACATTTGAGACTCAAACGATGCAGACAGAAGCCTCTGTGTTTCAGGAGTGTTCTTTTTTTTTTTTTAATTAAATTTTATATTTTTAAGATTTTTTTTTTTTATGTGGGCTGTTTTTAATGTCTTCATTTGAATTTGTTACAAGATCGCCTCTGTTGTTTATGGTTCGGGGTTTTGGCCACCAGGCACTGGGATCTTAGACCCAACCCGGCCAGGGATCAAACCCCCATCCCCTGCCTTGGAAGGCGAAGTCTTCACCATTGGACCACCAAGGGGAGTGTCAGGTCTTCCCTTTTAAATTTTTCATTGGGGTTTCAAAGTTTGTTTCTTTGTTTTTTTCCTAATCCTGCCGCCAAATTCACAAAGGCACCATGATGAACCAAATAGGCGGTAAGGCCACACGACTTAGGACAAGTCTCCTTTCCCTTCTGAATTCGAATGAGAAGTGTACTTTGCATTAAAGTTTTCTGCTCACGTGGGGCAGAGAGAAGAGGAAGCAGACTTTTTTCTGAAGGTCGTGATAGCTTGTCATGTAAGTCTCAGATAAATGGTGACTTGAACTGGGATGCCACACTGCCTACAGCTGGTGCACGGCGGGACCCAAATATCCACTGAATTGGAGGGAATGGCATTTGGTTTCCAGGACAATGGTTGGCATTCCAGGGAATGGCATTTGGTTTCCAGGGAGGTGCACGGCTTTTGCTGAAAACTAAGGGGTCACAATATGTCTAGCAGTCTTGGGTTTGTTTTTTTTTAATTTGAAAAAATTAACTTTTCTTTCTTTTTGGCCGTGGTGGGTCTTCATTGCTGCCTGCAGGCTTTCTCGAGTTGCAGCGAGCAGGGGCTACTTTCTAGTTGGGGCACATGGACTTCCCATTGCCGCGGCTTCTCTGTTGTGGCTCCCGGTTTCTAGAGCTCAGGCTCGGTAGTTGGGATACACAGGCTTAGCTTCCCCAAGGCCTGTGGGATCTTCCCAGACCAGCAATGGAACCTGTGTCTCCTGCATTGCAATGGAGATTCTTAACCGCAGGACCACCAGGCAAGTCCTATGAATGCACTTTTAGCTTTTCACTGAAATCGTTATAAAGCCATGGCACATTGACCTTTGAAGCCACACCGTGTCAGTTGTGAGTGATCGCAAAATATAAGTCACAATCCACAGCTTGGTGCATCTTATACCATCTCTATTTTTAGATAATTTTTTTCTGTGATTTCCCTTGTTTTTTGTTTTGTTTTTGTTTTTTTTGTTGTTTTGCTATTTGTTTACTAACAGCATTTTCAAACTTGCTAATTTGTTAGCACAATGTAGGAAGTTTTAATTTAAAGTTGAAGTGCTGTAAATAAAATGTAAGGAGAAAAAACTGGCATTTTTGTTTACCTCTTGCATACTTTTAAGATATTTTTCTGCATGTTTTCCATAAACATAGAAAGAACAAAATGCTAAGGTTTTGTGTGTGTGTGTGAATCCTGAAGATTTTTCCTTTCATTTGTCCTGGAGAAACTGCATAGACACAGAAATAGTACTTTAATTAATTGCAGTCTTGTTTTATAAATGTTTTTTAGTTACCAGTGAATGAAAGCAATGGATAATATTGACATGAACCCATACATTAAAGTTTCTTCAAAGTAGACTAGCTTTTGAGTAAAAGATGCCAGAATCAAATCAGGATACTAGCTGCATCATGCAACAAAGTTACGGGTTTGCAGGGTCGGCTCAACAGCCTCCACATGGCCTCACCAGGGCGAGTTTTGTCTGTTATCCTGCTCTGCCATCGTTACCGTGTCGCTCTTGGCCTCATGGCCACAGGATAGCTGCTGCACTTCCAGACATCACATACACATTCCAAGCAGGAAGAGAGGGGCAAAGTGTAAAGAGCTGGGAGAAATGCGCTGTCTGATACTCTTGGCAAACATAGTTAAGATGGAGAATCTACCCATTATTCTTATTTCTTTAAATCTCCTCATATAGATTGGTTCTTATGACTGTTAGCTTCAGTCTGGGGATGTGTGAGAAGAAGGGAATAGAAAAGGTGGAGTGAATGGTCTGGGGAAGCAGGACATGGAGTATACCAGGGTCAGGCTCAGCACCACTCACACGAACTTGTTTCCTCCTCTTTTTTTAAAAAAAATATTTACTTATTTGGCTGCACTTGGCCTTAGTTGTGGCTTGCAGGATCTAGTTCCATGACCATGGATTGAACCTGGGCCACCTGCACTTGGCCACTGGACCACCGGGGAAGTCCCCATATTTGTTGATCTGGTTTGTCCACGATTATTGTGCATGTGCCTACATGTGTAAGCCAAGAAACTGCATGACACATTGATGACTGGGTAGAAATGTGTAGACATGGGGGGTGATGGTTAATTTTCCTTGTCAACTGAACTGGATCGTGGAGTACCCAGGCTGAACACTGTTTCTGGGTGAATGGATAAAGAAGCTGTGGTACATATATACAATGGAATAGTACTCAGCCATAAAAAGGAACACATCTGAGTCAGTCCTAATGAGGTGGATGACCCTAGAGCCTGTTATCCAGGGTGAATTAAGTCAGAAAGAGAAAGACAGATATCATGCATTAGCACATATATATGGAATCTAGAAAGATGGTACTGATGAACCAATTTGCAGGGCTTTAATGCAGATGAAGACATAGAGAACAGATCTGTGGACACAGTGAGAGAAGGAGATGGTGGGAGGAATTGACAGTGGCATTGAAACATAAATGCTACCATACGTAAAACAGATAGCCAGTGCGAATTTGTGGTATGTCTCAGGGAACTCCAACCTGGGGCTCTGTGGCAATCTAGATGCGTGGGATGAAGAGGGAGGTGGGAGGGGGGTTCAAGAGAGAGGGGCACATGTGTACCTACGGCTGATTCATGTTGGTGTATGGCAGAAATCAACACAATATTATAAAGCAATTATCCTCCAATGAAAAACAAATTAAAAATAAAGAAACACATAAAATCAGTTATACAATGACAATTGGCTTTACTTCTCCAGAGAAGTCATATATAAGTGCTATTATCCAATGTGCACGGCTGCACAATATTTGGTGGTGGTAGAGGGAGAATTCAATGGTTTGCATTTTTGTTTTGTCTTCCATCTTCTGAATATGAAGTATTTTTAGTCACTTTCACAGCTTAGTTAAGTTTGTTCTCTCAGTCATGTCTGACTCTTTGTGACCCCGTGAACCGCAGCACACCAGGCCTCCCTGTCCATCACCAGCTCCCCAAGCCTGCTCAAACTCATGTCCATTGAGTCGGTGGTGCCATCCAACCATCTCATCCTCTGTCGCCCCCTTCTCCTCCTGCCTTCAATCTTTCCCAGCATCAAGGACTTTTCACATGAGTCAGTTGTTCACAAGAGGTGGACAAAGTATTGGAGTTTCAGCTTCAGCATTAGTTTTTCCAGTGAATATTCAGGACTGATCTCCTTTAGGATGGACTGGTTGGATCTCCTTGCAGTCCAAGGGACTCTCAAGAGTCTTCTCCAACACCACAGTTCAAGAGCATCAATTCTTTGGCGCTCAGCTTTCTTTATAGTCCAACTCTCACATCCATACATGACTACTGGAAAAACCATAGCCTTGACTAGACAGGCCTTTGTTGACAAAGTAATGTCTCTGCTTTTTAATATGCTGTCTGGGTTGGTCACAGCTTTCCTTCCAAGGAGCAAGAGTCTTTTAATTTCATGGCTGCAGTCACCATCTGCAGTGATTTTGGAGCCTCCCAAAAGTAAAGTCTCTCACTGTTTTCACTGTCTCCCCATCTATTTGCCGTGAAGTGATGGGACCGGATGCCATGACCTTAGTTTTTCTGAATGTTGAGCTTTAAGCCAACTTTTTCACTCATCAAGAGAGCCTTTAGTTCTTCTTTGCTTTCAGCCATAAGGGTGGTGTCATCTTCGTATCCGAGCTGAGGAAGTCGTTGGGGCGCAGAAGCGTCCTCCCGTGGAGTCCTTGCGCTGTGTCTACCCACTCTTCTGGCGCCCGGCGTCCCTTAAACAAGAAGGCCCCTCCGGAAAGTGTGCCTCACGGTCCACGTCCTCCTGAGCACTAAGCCGGACCTCCCTTCCAACACAGCCTCCTGAAAGGCAACCTCTGAGAATGTGTCATTTCACTCCTCACGCGACTTCCACTGCCTTAATGTGAGTCGGCTCAGAAACGAACAGGGATGCAGTGACTGAGGGTTCGTTTCGGAGAAGAATGAGTCTCTCCAGGCATCTTCAAGAGAGGGGAGGCCTTTCCAGAGAAGAGCGCAGTCCTGGTGCCCTCTGTCCGTGAGTCCTGGAACACGCTGGGAGGCCTGCTCTCCGCAAATGATCACACAGGGTTCTGGTCGCCAGTCGTTTCCGTCTGTTCTCAGGAAATGAAGCGTTGTTTCACAAATCTTACTCTAATGAGGGCCGGGGCAGATGAACTTTGCAGCTCTCGAGGGCAGAAATGTCGCTAATTGAGAGCTGAGGCCTTGTGAGCTCTGGTCATAAAATGTATAAATGAAATCGAGTTACAACAATTTCTCTGGGGACATCCCTGGCGGTCCAGTGACTAGGACTCAGCTCTCTCACTGCCGGGAGCCCAGGTTCAATCCCTGGTGTAGGAACTAAGATCCCATAAGCTTCGGGTGTGGACACTCAGTCGTGTCCGACTCTTGCGACCCCCATGGACTGTAGCCCGCCAGGCTCCTCTGTCCACGGGGTTTTCCAGGCAAGACTCCTGGAGTGGGTTGCCATGTCCTTCTCCACCTTTG